CCAATGGAAATCCAGTTTTAGCGTCACCTTTGATGTTTGTAAGGCAGCTAATTATTGGGCTGCAATATATGGTTGCGGAGGGATCAGTCATATCCACAGCTATATCCCAAACCATAAGTACTTGTGCCCACCAGATGGATGTGCAGTCTCCACGGTCAAATGTAATGGTGGTCATGTATTAAGTGGCATACCCAAGACCCGAAGGAGATGGAACACATCTTGTTTGAAAAGAATAATACAAAAGCCTTCCTGTGGAAGGGACAACTGTAATTTGGTGACTCTCACAGTTAAGAATGGCAGTTGGTTCCTTGAACAAAATAGACGGGAAAGAAAAAAACTGGATGTTTGGGATAGGAATAGATGCCAATGGCTACGACCCAATATCAGAGGTAGAAATCAAAATTATAACTGCAACCAAAAGATCAGAACAAAAATCATTATTCTGGTCATATTATGAGGAAATGGAGAAAACAAATATTCCTGAAATACCTAGACAGGTAATCAATACCTTTGTTAAGTTAGCTGAAGATATTGCCCATACTTTAGGCGTGTCTAACTGTTTTGTGTGTGGTGAAACAAATATGGGAGAAAAATGGCCATGGGAGGCACAAGAGTTAAATTATACCAAGGTACTAGAAATGTCTGAGAATAATAGTTTAACCTATACAAGTGGGAAAGATGGTGATTGGACTCTCACTTCCAACTTGGTAGGACATGTATGTTACTCAAGGAACAAAACAGAATCTTGCATAGCAGTAGGTGACCCCCTATGCACAGGGACTTGGGAAAACAATAAATGGTGGTCTGGAACCAACGAAACCACTACTATGGATCATTATGCCCTTACTAACGTATCTGGGATGCCATATCTAAAAGATCCCACAAATACCAGTCTCCTTTGGCTAGCCCCAGATGGAATGTACTGGATTTGTGGGAAAATGGCATATGGACAACTATCTAAGAACTGGTGTGGATCTTGTGTATTGGGAATAATTCGACCAGGATTTTTCCTTTTACCATTAAAAACTAAGCAAATTCTTGGAATTCCCATCTATGATGAAGTTGGCAATATAAGATAAAGAAGGGAACCAAGTACATACACCCAATGCGCAGGAGTCACTTGACAAGAATATGAATGGCCACTTTGCTGCATTATCCTAGTTTATGGCCCAGCTACTTGGGCTGAGGATGGAATGTATGGATACCGTAACCCTATTTATATGCTCAACAGGCTCACTAGGTTACAAGCGGTGGTAGAGTTAATCACTAATGAGACTGTGAAGGGACTAACTGAATTGGCCAAAGAAAATGTGAAATCAAGGACATATATTATGTAAAATAGGTTAGCCTTGGACTATCTGTTGGCCAAAGAAGGAGGGGTATGTGGAAAATTCAACCTAACAAACTGTTGCATCAAAGTAGATGAAAGTGGAAAATTGTTGAAGGACATAACAGACAGAATGACCAAACTAGCTCATGTTCCAGTGCAAACCTGGAAAGGATTTAATCTGGAAGACGTATTTTCAAGATGGTGGCCAAAGTTACCAGGCCTACAAACCATCATAGTTATAGCAGTCTTGCTAATTCTAGGATATATTTTGATTCGCTGCTTACTCCCCTGTGTTATAATGATGATTTGAAGAATCTCAGAAAGTACAGCCCAATTAACTGCAAAACATGAAACAATGTTAGCTTTATGGGAATACAAAATGGTGCCCACTAAAGATCCTGAATCAGAGGTAGAATGATGGAAGTTTAAGCAAGAAAACTTCCAAAGGGGGGAATAAGGTAGAATAATATAGACTAATGTGAAATAATAATAATAATAATGAAACAGAAGAATTTACCAAGAGATGTGGTGATTTATTTTGTTAAGAAGTCTCTGCGTAATCAGATCTTACAAGCTTTTTATAACAAGAGATTCCAGATTGCTGCCCAAGATATTATTATTTTAAAGGAAATCCCATCCAAAATTTTAAGAAGTAGAAAAGATTTTGCTTTTTTAGCAAATGAACTCAAAATAAGATTGATGCCATTTAGATGGGAGATTCCGATGGGTATTGTTTTGAGCCATGCGGGACACGTTATAGACTTAATACGGTTGCTAAAGCTAAAGAATTTTACAACACGGTCCTGGGAGCAGGCTCATCTTCATCCATGACTCAGAGAGTCTTGAGTGACAAAGAGGTGGAACAGCAGTCTGAAGGATTAGGCTTGATGGCTGCTGGGCAGGTGGAATGGATGCGTCAAGCAGAAGTTAAAGAACAGAGAAATGACTCGTGCAGCACATAAACTAAGGAAAAGGAACAACAGAAGAAAGAAGCTAAAGAATCTTCTCATCAGATTGTTTCAATGCCGGTGGGAGGAGCAAGACCCAAAAGCTCTGCAACACATTCTTCAGTAGCAGACCTTGAGGGAATCTTCTCCAGGCTCCTGGTTGAGGGAGATGGCAAAGTTCCTGACCTGGAATGTTAACGGTTTAAATTTTCCTCAGAAGAGAAAGAAAATCTTTCACTACTTAAAGCAACATAATAATGACATTATTTGTTTGCAGGAAACTCATATCTTATTCAAAGATCAAAAATATTTAGCTAATGCTCGCTTGGGATCTCATTTTGTATCTCCTGCCCCTGGAAAAAAGGGGGTGTGGTAATTTATGTTAAGCAAAATCTACCAGCTTGTCTGGTAGAATCAGATCCTCAAGGAAGATATGTTATGATTGAACTTGGCTTATATGGTAAAAAAATACTTATAGTGGGACTGTATGCACCAAACCAGCAACAGGAACAATTTTATAGATTGCTACATCAGAAAATAACTCTGTTGGATTATAGGTCTGTGATATTTATGGGAGACTAGAATGGTGTTTTAGATACACAAAAGGACAAAAAAGGTTTTTCTACCTTTTTTAAACAGGCTAAATTACCTAAAGCTTTTTTTGATTTGAAAGAAGATTGGGAATTGAGAGACTATTGGCGTGAACGTAATCAAGAGGAAAGAGACTTCACCTTTTTCTCAGATAGACACCAATCTTTCTCAAGGATTGATTATAAAAGTGATTTTAAAATACCATTATGGGCTATACCTTGGCATGCGATAGAGGGGATAAAGAGAGGAGTTAAGATGGATACGGTTTCCTATATACAACTACTTAGATGGGATGGTCAAAATTGGCAGTTAAAATCTTTGGAAGATCTAATACATGAAAATATTACTTATTCATGGTTTCAATATAGACAAATAGTGGAGAGATGGAAGATGGATCGTAATATGGGTTGGCTTAGAGAAGATGAAAATCTTTTTAAACAAGTAAGGGATCAAAGACCAACTCATATTAAGAGGGTTTATGGGGTTTTAGTGGAAATGGATTCAGAATCTGAATTAATCAAAGATTGTATGATTAAATGGGCACAAAATATTGGTGAACCAATCCCACTGGATACTTGGGAACCTATATGGGTGAGGAATGTTAAATTCACACAAGCGCAGAATTTAAGAGAGAATTTTTATAAAATGTTTTAGAGATGGCACCTTGACCCACAAAAATTGTCTATTATGTACCCTGATCTACAGCCTAAATGTTGGAGATGTGGTTGTTTGGATGCTACCTATTATCATATTTGGTGGTCGTGTAAAAATATAAAAGCTTTCTGGATTAAGATATGGTGGAATATTCAAAGAATTTTTAGAAGGGGGTAAAATTTACCCCGCAATTATTTTTATTAGGTATTGTTACGGATTGTGATGCTAAGGAAGTTATATTGATGTTAAATTTGATCACAGCCGCAAGGCTGCTAGTAGGACAATATTGGAAAAAGGAATCTTTGCCTACCCTACAAGAGTGGTTTTATAAAGTTTCTTATTTGGCGGAAATGGCAAAGATTTCGGCTTTCTTAAAGGAGCAATCTCAAGAGAAACTTTTTGTTGTATGGGAAAAATGGATAAATTTTATACAATATAATTTGGATATGGAAAAATATCATTTAGCTTTTTTATAATTGTATAAATTTTTTTTTGATATTTTACAGATTGTTTTTTTTCTCTTTTCCCGTCTTGTTTTCTTCTCTCTTTTTTTTCTTTTATTTTTTTTATCCCTTTTTCTTTTTCTTTCTCTCTCTCTTTCCTTTCTTTTTTTCTTTCCTTTTTAAGTATTTTTCTTTTTAATGCATATGTTACATATATCTTATCATTAATTATTTTATAAGTTGTAAAAATTTGTTTAGGTTTTTTAAAATTTTAAATAAGCCTGTATCCAGTTCTGGGAAGCTCGGGGAGGGGGGAGGGAGGGGGGGTTGGGAGGGATGGGTGAGGGTTGGTCGTTTATTTGTAAAACTTTTAAAAATTTTTCAATAAAAAAAAATAATAATGAAAAATCATTAAAACAATGATGTGTCTGCATAATTGCTGGAATAAAGCTGTGTTAGCAATCTGTGACTAACCAAATGCTCATTGCACTTGGAAACAATGTATGTAGCAGATTCTCCATTGTATGCCCGTGAGAAATGAATCTAATATGTGAGAAATGAATCTGATGTATTACAATGTAGATTTCTATGTGGGCTCCTTTGTTCCTGAGAACGTATAAAACTGTAGTTTAAACCCACCCTCAGTGTTCAGAATTGCTTGTTGTTACTGCTTCTGAACCTTGCACAATAAATCTCTCTGCTAAACCCTCTGGAATTCGTAAAAATCTCTTACGTTTTTCTACAAGAAAAGGACCTTGTTTTCTTCAAATAAACAGTCAGATTCATACCTACAGTTATCATATAAAATCACTCATTCCAGTTCTTTCTCTTTCCTCACTGAAGAAATGTGCAAATATTTTGCTTGTGTAAGTAAAATTTATATATAAATACACACACACACCACACACACACACACACACTTCATTTTACTCCACCAACTGCCCAAATAATTTGATGAGGATGCTCAGAAGATTTTCTTCATGGCTACCTAGAAAGGCATAAATGTTAGATGCTGATTGAAATAACAAAACTCACCATCTTCATCAGTTTGAAATATCATCTCTTTGCCTTCTTTCCGGCCTTCAGGATTAGACAGGATAAGCTTAACATGGACATTTTTAAAAGGCAGAAGATTGTTGATGGTGTAACAGTTGATACCATGCTCCATCTTCACACATTCACGAAAGGTCTGGTTATGGCCAGTGCCTACAGCATAGCGATAGCAGAGTGTGACAGTATATGTGTGACAGCGTGTCAGGTTGTAACCCAGAGGCTCCCACTGAAGGATCAGTTGCCTGGATTGGATCTCTGCAAAGGCAAGGCCTTTGGGGGCCCTCATGGGTTCTGCAGAAAGAGATGGAGAGAGAATGAAAAACAGCAGAATCAGTATCTGTCAGGACACTGGGAAAGGGCAATACTTTGTCGACTTCTGGTGGAGAACAATATTGAATGAAAAGATGTTACAACCTCTGGTGTAGCAGAACTTTAGATTTAGAATCAGCTGGAGGAAAACATAATAAATATGAGGGAATGGTCTAAATCTGTTTACTGGTAGTCCTCAACACAACAATTCATTTAGGGACCATTTGAAGTTACCATGGTACTGAAAAAAGTGACTTATGACTGTTTTTCACACTTACAAATGCTGCATTATCCTCATGGTCATGTGATCCAAATTCAGATGCTTGGTAACCAGCTCATAATTTATGATGGTTGCAGTATCCCGGGATCATGTGACCGACCACCTTGTGCAACCTTCTGATAAACAAAGTCAATGGGAAAGCCAGATTCATTTTACAATGGTGTTATTAACAACAGCATTGATTCACATTACAACTGTGGCAAGAAACGGCATAAAATGGGGCAAAACTCTGTTTTAGCAATGGAAATTTTGGGCTCAATTGTGGTTTTAAGTCAAGGATTGCCCTCTCAATCAACCAATCCTGTGTAAGAATTGCTTGCCATAAAGCATGGGCCCAAAGCACAGCTAAAATTCTTTGTGAAAGCAGGTGTAACTGAGATCTTGACCCAGAAGGCCTGACCATGTGAAAGTCTCTAGCCCTTGCACTTCTTAACAAAATAGCAAAATAACAGAATTGGAAGGGACCTTGGAAGTCTTCTAGTCCAATCCCCTGCTCAAAAAGGAACCCCTATACCATTTTGGACAAATGTCTGTCCAAACTCTTCTTAAATACCTCCAGTGTTGGAGCACTGGCAACTTCGTTCCACTGATTAATTGTTCTAACTGTCAGGAAATTTCTTCTAGAACGAAGGAGAAATTTCCTGATGGTTAGAACAATTAATTTGTTATTCCTGCTATAGAATCTCCAACACTGACCTGATAACTCCCCATTATCTAATGCAGGGGTCCCCAACCCCCAGTCCATGGACCAGTACCAGGCTACAGCATGCCAGCAATCAGTCTGCACAAACAAGCAAAGCCCCATCTGTGGGATGCAGGCAACACACAAAACCACGCACCCTCCAGTCCACAGAAAAACCTCTCTCCATGAAACCAGTCCCTTTGGGGACCTCTGAACTAATGGACCTGGTAGAAAACAGAGTTTTACGTGAGTCATGCTATTGTACCAATATCCTGAGAAAACAAGGAAAATCCCAGAATTGTTATGTATCACAATTGCATTGTGTGAGAACCAGTGGTGGGATTCAAATATGTGAACAACTGGTTCTCTGTGTGGATGCTGGTTCCAGAAGTCCGTTCTGGGCCTGGGCAACAAAAAAATTAGCTACCGGTTCTGCCAAACTGGTGCGAACTGGCTGAATCCCACCACTGGTGAGAACCTATTAGAACCAATTCCATGCCCATGTTTATTTACACATAATATTCCTCTTCTCTTTGAATGTTTTAATCTTATTCTTTTTTTAAATAAATGATTTCCCTATATAATCTGATTCCCAATCATAATAAATAAATCAACAGAAACCGGGTAGCCTGACAACAGTATTAATCTTATATGGCAAGACCACTGCTGAAGAATAGAGGTAGAACTCTGACACCAGAGCAGAACATCCTGCAAGCAGGAAGCTCTTTAAAAAGCAAAAAAAAAAAAAAAAATTCCCTCTGGTTTTAAAAAGCATATTGTTCTAAAACAGAGGTGAACATCCTATGACTCGAAAGTTTATGTTTATTCAGCTCTCAAATTAATTTTAAAGCTCTTTACAGCAAACAAGCAATTTAGGTTTCCAGCAAAAGCAATATATTCTTTTTTTGGCACATTGTATGTAAGGAGGGAAGGGGGAGTGCCAGAGAAATATAAATGCTTCAAAGTAAGAAAGGGCACCTCATCCATTGTTGCCATTGGTTGCACCCATCCTTATAATAAGATCTTTCTTCAAAGGATGGTCCTATGGAAATTCAGATCTTGATGGATGAATTGTCCTCTCAACAGACAATTCAATGGCAAAGACACCTTTACAATATATAGAAGCAACATGTGTTACCCATCATCAAAGGAACCCTCATAGGTTCTGCACAGAGAGTTGGAGACAGAATGAAAAACAACAAAATCAGTAATTGGTTTGGGGGGGAAAACATGCTTGTGGGAAAAACTGCATTCTATCTCAATGCTCAGCTCTATAAGATAGTTTTCAACTTACAACTATTAGTTTAGCACCGTTCAAAGCTATCTGCAATCTTCCCAGCTGGCTTCTGACAAGGAAAGTCGAAGGAGAAAGCCAGATTCATTTATGATCAACTGCAATGATTAAAAATAATTTAAGAGTGATAATGGGCGTATTAGAATACTATTAATTACATCCAGGGAAACAACTGGCACTAATATTTCTAGATGCCCAAAAGGCATTTGATAATGTTTCCTGACAATTTATGACTCAGCAATTACAAATAATTTGGACAGAATTTTACAAACATGATAAAAACAATATACAATAAACAAACAGCGAAAGTGATTGTGAATGGAGACTTTACTGAGAACTTTGAGATAAGAAAAGGTACAAGGCAAGGATGCCCATTATCTCCACTGTTATTTGTTTTTACTCTGGAAGTTTTAAATATAAATATTAGACAAAATATAGAAATTAAAGGGCTAGAAATAAAAGGCGAAACATATAAACTACAAGCATTTGCTGATGATTTGGTATTTATTTTAGAAGAATCTTTGGAGATGATTCCTAAACTATTGGGAAAGATAGAACAATATGGAGAAATAGCAGGACTGAAAATAAACAGAGAAAAAACCAAAGTAATAGTTAAAAACCTTACAAATAAACAAAAAAAAAAACAAATGTCAGAAAAAACAGCATTGCAGATAGTTAAAAAGGTCAAATATCTCGGAATACATTTAACAGTAAGATGTTCAACGATAAAAGAAGATAATTACACAAAACTATTGAATCAAATAAAAATGGATCTGGAAAAATGGAAAAACTTGCAATTGTCAATACTAGGAAGAATTGCTACAGTGAAAATGAACATACTACCAAAAATTTTATTCTTATTTCAAACAATACCTATAAAACTTGAGAAAAATTTTTTTGAAGACTTAAATTCCCTAATTTTGAAATTTATTTGGCAAAGAAAGAAAGTTAGAATTAAGATGAAAATGTTACAAGATGCCAAGGAAAATGGAGGACTTGATCTACCGGAGTGGATTTTATATTATCAAGCAACTGCATTAACATGGGTAAAAAAGTGGATAACTTTTAGAAATAAAGGCTGTTATATCTGGAGGGGCATGATTTACAATTGGGGTGGCACACTTTTTTATGATATGGGAAAAATAAAGTTCATAAATATTTCCAAAATCATTATATAAGAAATGCATTGTTAACAAAATGGGAACAAATACAATCTAAAATATATTTGAAAATTCCAGGGTGGTTGTCAATAATGGAAGCATTTGTACACCCAAATTTAGTGAACTTTGAAAAAATCTGGACATATAGAGATATTCTAAACTCTGAAGGAAATTTAAAATCTAAACAAGAAATGGAAAATCAGGGTATCAATTTATTATGGTGGACAGATTTACAAATGCAAGCTAGATATGATAAAGAGGTTAAACTGTATGGATTTTACAAGGAACAAACTGTGTTTGATAAGACATTGTTAACTTCTGATAAGAAACTAATTAATAAAATGTATAATTTTCTATTAACTTTGAAAATGGAAAGAGAACAAGTTAAAGAAACAATGATAAGATGGGCAAATTTTTTGGATATAATATAGAATTAGAAAAATGGCAAAATCTATGGGAAAGAAATTACAAACTGATAATGTCAACTTCTTACAAAGAAAACTTATATAAAATGTTTTATAGATGGCACTTGCCACCAGCAAGATTAGCAAAAAAAACATGTCAGATAAATGTTGGAAATGTAAACATAAGTCAGGCACGTATTATCATGTTTGGTGGACATGTGACAAAGTAAAGAGTTATTGGAAAAAAGATACATACCTGGCTAGAAAAGATGTTGGGAGAACATGTAGAGTTTAAACCTGAACTTTTTTTATTAGGTATAATGCCAGAAAAGACTAATAAACAAAGCTTATATTTGATTTTGCATGTCACAACAGTGGCAAGAATTATATTTGTGCAATACTGAAAATGAAGGAATACCATCAAATGAAGAAATAATCAAAAAAATACTAGAATGCACAGAGATGGACAGACTGACTATAAGCCTGAAAGAAAAAGAAGAAACGGAATATTATCAAACTTGGGACTTATTTTATTGATGGCTAGAGGAAAGAATAAAGGATTAGGAATTAAATATGTATTAGCAAATGTAAACTCAGACAGCACGTTGGTTGAAAAATTATTACTGAATGTATGAAACAAAAAACTAATAAAAAACTTTTACAAAAAAAAAATAAATAACAACTGCAGTGATTTACTTAACAACTACAGCAAAAAAATTATGTAAAATTCAGCATGACTTACTTAACAACTGTTTTGCTTAGCAATGGAAATTCTGGTCCCAAGTGTGATTGTAAGTCAAGGACTATATGTACATGGTTAGTACAGACAGCAGTTGCATTCATACAACATTCCTATCCTATTCCCTGAATTAATTTATTTTCTAAGTTGCAGAATAAACTGATCTCAAAGGCTCAGTTCATACCAAATAATCTACAAAATAATCCACTATCCAATAGACCATGTTTAACAGGATTAAGAAAAATGATTCATCTTGGAATGTTCTGAAAGCAAAATAAGCCATTCCAATCTCAAAATAAAGCATCTCAAGTCTTCTGGAATGATGCCACATTGAACCAGTGGTGCTGAAAGACTCAGAACATCTTTGTTCTGAGAATAGGCCATTTCCAAAACACTGAATGATCCATTTTGGTATCAGAAGTT